GGAGGAGGAGGAGGAGGAGGAGGAGGAGGAGGAGGAGGAGGAGGAGGAGGAGGAGGAAGAGGAGGAGGAGGAGGAGGGGGAACGAGGAGGAGAGAGGAGGAGCGCAGAGGAGCGAGGAGCGAGGAGGAGGAGGAGGAGGAGGAGGAGGAGGAGGAGGAGGAGGAGGAGGAGGAGGAGGAGGAGGAGGAGGAGGAGGAGCGAGGAGGCCGAGACTCTTGAGACTTGCCCAGTCCCCTGGCTTCAGAACGTGTGCCCACGTGCCCCGCCCCCGTGGGGGCCCAGATGGACAGCGGCTCCCCGGGCGGTGGCTGTGGATAGTTAAATTTCCCCGCCTCGCGCCCCCCTCGCTCCCTGGGCTTCGCGGGAGTGGGAACAACCACACTTTTTCCGTCAGCGGCGAGGCGGCGAAATCCGCACCAGCGTAACAGCTAGGTAGGGGCACCAACTAGCGCATTGGCCGGCGAGCAAGGAGGGAGGGGGGAGGCCGCGGGGAAGGAGGGACGCTCAGACGCCGAATGATTCGACGATGAGCAGCCGGCGGGCGCAGCAGCCAGGCGCGCAGGGCCAGAGCGCGGTGGGCGGCCGTGGTGACCCACGGGGGCAAGGTTGGCTGGGGGAGCGCAGGAGACACAGCGAGCGTCGATTGCAGGATAAATCTGGGAAAGTATGGGAAGTGGGGGTGCAGCAATCTGTCTTTGTCGCGCTCTGGCCACTGAAAGTGCGACAGCGTTCAGATGACGTGACTGCTGGCTTGCCCGAGCGGTCGGCCGGGGGTCTCCGTGAGCACCGACTGCAGCCAACACCCTTTTGTCCTACCTGGGCAGCCGCTCGGGAAGTGGGGGGGACGACGGGAGCCCAGAAAACATGAGGAAATATATGGGGCGTCCTGGTATTCGTGTGCATTTCTTTGTGTGTGCCCCCTGGGTCCCCTCAACTTCAGCGTGAGGGGACAAGCAGCGCGGAGGCTACTCTTCGATGTCGGCCTCCCAGAGGGGCCTTGCCAGGCGCAGGGAGCCGCCGCCAAGAAGCGGCTCGGGGTGCAGCGCCGGGCCCTGGGAAGAGGGCTAGGGCTCGGGGGGACCCCGTGCTGAAGAAGTCACGGCGTCGGGTTTCTGCGTTCTCCTGCTTGGGCTGCTTCCCCCACCCCTCTCCTCCTCCTCCTCCCTCCCTCTCCTCCTGTCCTCCTCCTCCTCCTCCTAATCCTCCTCCTCTCTCTCCTCTCCCTCCTCCTGATCATCCTCCTCCTCCTCCTCCTCCTCCTCCTCCTCCTCTGATCTCTCCTCCTCCTCTCTCCTCCTCCTCTCCTCCTTTCCTCCTCCTCCTCCTCCTCCTACCCTCCTTCCTCCTCCTGCTCCTCTCTCTCTCCTCTCCTCCTCCTCCTCCTCTCTCTTTCCTCCTCGCTCCTCTCCTCCTCATCCTCCTCCTCCTCTCCTCCTGCTCCCCTCTGTCTCCTCTTCTCCTCCTCACGCTGTCCCTCTCAGCCTCGCTCCCCGCCCTCCCCCTCCCCTCTCCTCCTGCTCCCGCTGGCCTTGCCCCCACCCCCTCCTGTTCCTTCACCGCACATGCCTGTCTCCTCTTGCCCCGCCCTGCCCGCTCCTCATCCCCTCCCTCCTCCTGCCTCCCGGAGGGGGGGGGGGGGGGGCGGGAGGGGGGCCGGGTCTCCCTGCTGGGCGGGGGGACCTCGGCGAGCCGCCCGTGGGCCGCGGGGGGAGCCCAGCAGCGCGCCCAGCGCCGCCGAGAGCCAGAGGCGCGCCGAGCCTCGCTCGGGCCGCCGCCCTGCTCTGCGCCGGCGTGCCCCCCGGGCCCGCGTCAGGCGGACATCCGGCCTCCTTCTTCTGGGGGTCCCTCGGGCCGACGGCTCGTCATCGGGCGCGTTCCACGGCTCGCAAAGTGCCTGCTCGCAGGGCTCGTGGAAGGCATCGTGAAAATCCCGTGCGGCGGATCCAGGCCACTTGCGAGCGGGGCTGCTTTGCGAGCAGTGGAACGCGCTCCTCCATCTCGAGACGAGTCCAGCTACGGCGGCGATGCCATGCTAAGAGCATCGACGCATCCTCCTCCGGGGGCCAGGACAGCTCTGAGCATCGGCATCCATTCTCTCCTTTCCTTGCCCCCAGGCTTCAGCTGCCGCCGCGCCACGCTGAGCACACGTTTCCGACCCTCTGCTTTCAATACCTTCCTACTTCAATGGTTCTACCCTCCTCTTCCGAACGGCGGGTGCCGTCGAGCCTCTTCTGTGGCATGGGATTCCAGACCTTGCGACCCCTTTCCTGGGGCTGTTTTTTCATCCTGGGCATATTTCTCATGGATCTTGGTCCCGAATCTAGGCCCCAGAGGCTAAAGGGCTGAGAAAAAAAACTGGATTGGTTCAAGCCGTTGGAGGTTCGGGTCTCCAGAGGTCTCCAGAATCGGGATTGGTGCCTCTTTGCTGCTGGATGGTGTTCCTGGTGCACCTCCACCTTTAAACGACTCCTTCTCCTCCTCTTTATCATCACCATCACCATCATTACCCTCTCCCTTCGGATTCTCCGTCCTGTTCCTCGTTCTCCTCCTCCTCCTCCTCCTCCTCCTCCTCCTCCTCCCACTCTTCTTTCCCCTTCTCGCCTTGCCCACCCTCTTCCTCCTCCTCCTCCTCCTCCTCTTCCGCCTCCTCCTCCTCCTCCTCCTTCTCCTCCTCCGCCTCCTCCTCTCCTCCTCCTCCTCCTCCTCCTCTTCCTCCTCCTCCCTCCTCCCCCGCCTCCTCCTCGTCCTCCTCTGCCCTCCTCCCTCCTCCCTCCCTCCCTCCTCCCTCTCTGCGCAGCTCGTGTCCTACCGGCCGCTGCGCCTCGGCAAATGAGGCCGGCGCATACCCCCATCCACTCCCTTCCCCTCCCTCCCACCCCTCCCTCTCTCCCCTCCCTCCCCCCCTCCTCCCCCCCTCCCTCCCTCCTCCCTCCCTCCCTCCCTCCCCCTCTCCCTCCATCCCTCCCCCCCCTCCCTCCCTCCCCTCCCGAAGAAACCACGAGGCGCACTGCTCTCGTCATTCCCGTGGCCCTGCTGTGCGCCCTGATGTCCCTCGTGGCCTTCTGGGCCGGGGACGCCGTCTGCAGCCACGGCGGCGGGGACTCGCTGTACGGCGGCGCCTGCCTGGTGGCGTTCTTCGTAGAGGTCGGTGCGCATCCTCCCTTCTCCGTCCTCCCTCCACCACCTTCCTCCTGCTCCTCATCTTCTTCCTTCCTGCCTTCTTCTCCTCCTCCTCCTCCTCCCCCTCCTTCTCTCTCTCTCCCTCCTCTCTCCTCCTCCTCTCCTCCTCCTCCTCCTCCTCCTCCTCCTCCTTCCTCCTCCTCCTCTCCTCCTCCACCCTCCTTCTCCTTCGTCTCCTTCTCTCTCCTCCTCCTCCTCTCTCTTCCTCCTCTTTTCCTTCTCTTCCTCCTTCTCCTTCTCCTTCTCCTCCTCATCCTCCTTTCCTCCCTCCTCCTCCTTCTTCGTCCTTCCTCTTCCCCTCCTCCCCCCCGCCGCCTCCTCCATTATGATCACGCGGGAGCGACCCCTCCCTACGCTCGACGATTTTTTTTTTTTTTTTTTTTTTTTTTGTTTTTTTTTTTTTTTGCGTGCTTGCGTTTGTCGCGGCGCTTTTCGTTCCGGTTCGTTTCGTTTCGGCCGATCGTGTTGGCTTTGATCTTCGTTTCGGCCTCTGGGGCCGCCTTGCGGACACCAGGGGCATCCGAAAAGGATATGGGTAGCAGAACTGCTTCCTGTTTTTGTGTGTGTGTGTGCGTGTGTGCGTGCGTGCGTGCGCGCGTGCGCGCGCGTGTGTTTTTTTGTTGTTGTTGTTGTTGTTGTTGTTGTTGTTGTTGTGTGTGTGTGTGTGTGTGTGTGTGTGTGTGTGTGTGTGTGTGTGTGTGTGTGTGTGTGTGTGTGTCTGTGTCTGTGTGTGTGTGGTGTGTGTGTGTGTGTGTGTGTGTGTGTGGGTCGGGAGCTCTGGGGCCGCGGACTGCATACGCATGTCTCGATGTGCGTGTGTGCCTACATCTATATTTATATATGTATATATGTATATATATTTAAACATACAGTTGCATGGGCACATCTTTGCATATTTCTAATGTTCACACATACATTTTACGTGCACGTATGGATGTATAGAGGTAGCTGGTGTGTATACATACAGAGAGATGTACAGGTATAGACCATCGGTATAGTTACGTGCATGTCTACATATATCTGGTATACGATTACATATATATATATAGGTGTATGCATACATATACACACCTATGTGTGCTTGTGAGCGTGTGCGTATGCATCCTGGGGGCGCGAGGCCCAGAGGCCCGGCCACTGGACCTCCGCGCGCCTCCCCCTCGGGACAGCCTGCGCGGCTCCCGGGGGGGGGAGCCGCTCGAGGAGAGCTCCGCGGGCGCTCACGACCTTGGCGTCGCTCGGACGTGTGCATTTTTCCCTCGGCGAGGCCCATCGAGGAGAGCTCCGCGGGCGCTCCCGACCCCCTCGTCCCCTCCCCCCCCCTCTCCCCTCCTCGACCGCTGCTCTCTGCCGCTGGGCTTCTTCGATGGGTAAAAAATAGTGGGCGTTTCTCCCTCGGCGAGGCCCATCGTGGAGCATCCTGGATCATGTGGCGAAGAAGCCACGCGCGAAACCGACGAACAGCACGGGGAATGGGCGTCCGGGCGATGGCGAGCGACGGCTTCTGGACGGCGCTGGGGGCTCCCAACCCGCCCCAAGACTGCCCCAAGAGCGCCCCGAGACGGACCACGACGACTTCCACACGCTCAAGGGGCGCCCCGGGAGGCCCCATAGGCCCACGCGAGGCTCTCCTGGAGCGCCGAAAGAAGGACACATCGGTGAATTTCCTTTGGTTCTTGGTGGATTTTGAGCTTCTCACTTCTTCTACTTCCCGACCGCCCACGACGGCCAGAAGGCTCCCACGACTAACCCTGGGAGCCCCAAGAGGCCGCCGAGAGAGTCCCTCGACTGCCTGCGAGGGCCCAGGGACGGGCCACGAGCCACTCAAGACGGCCAAAGGGCCCGCGCAGGCAAAAGAGGAGGAGGAGGAGAAGGAGGAGGAGGAGGAAGAGGGAGGAGGGAGGAGGGACAGGAGGGACAGGAGGGAGGAGGGAGGAGGAAGGAGGAAGGAGGAGGGAAGAGGGAGGGAGGGAGGGAGGGAGGGTGGGAGGGTGGGAGGGAAGGAGGGCTGCAAAAGGGCCCCTGGACGGCGCGAGAGGTGCCCAAGGCAACACCACCGCCAGAGCGCTCCAAGACGGCCCGATAGGACACCCAGGCGCTCGAGGGGCACCCATGGAGGCCTGCCAGGTCCACAACGGGGCTCCTCCAGAGCACCGAAAGAAGGCAACATGGTGTAATCTGTGTGCACGCGGGTCGCTGAAAATAGGTATCATTGGATTCCCAGATCCCAATCTACTGCAAGCGCTTTCCTACTTCAAGAACCGACACGCTTTTGCTGTGTTCTGTTGCTCTGTGGGAGGGCCTGGACCCAATCCGCTTTATCCGCCTTCCTACTTGATGTTTTTACCTACTTCTTCCGACCGGCGTGTACATACGGTAGAGGGAAACAATTACTGAGCACTCCCCCTCCCCCCAAACTCAATGTTGGCACGCGGGGGGGAGACTGCGGTCGAAGTGCATCTTAGCAGACCCACCGCCAACTCTGAACACTGGGGGGAGGGGGAGGCGTTGACGGATGAATGTGGCATGTGTTCGCTAATTTGTTCCGAGGCCCGTATCGTAAGGACGCGAGGTAAGGACGCAATACCCTTGGAGGCCGAAGTTGGATTTTTGGGGCGGGGGGCGGCCAGTAAAAACGGCGGAGGACGGGCCGCAGAGGCAAGGACACAAGGGTACCCTAGATGAAGGCGCGCGTCCTTACTAGGCGCCTTGACTGTATGTATGCATGCATGCACGACCCAGGGCGCACCCAAGACGGCCAACGACGGGGGCTGGAAGAGGTCCCCTGGAGGAGCCGCAGAGAGGCTCCGACAGCACGGAGTTCGCGAGTGCTCCCCGGAGCCCTCCGAGACAGCCTCGGGGCGGCGCAGGCGACGCCCCAGGACCTCCACGGGAGCGCGCCTCCCCCGCCGTCGGGATCCCGACCGCCCAGTGCCGCCCAAAAGGGCTCCCAAGACTTCACCTGGAAGCCCCAAGAAGCTGCCAAGAGGGCCGTAGGACTGCCCACGACGGCACATGGACGGCCCAAGGGGTCCCAAGACGGCCAAAGAGGGCCCCGCAAGGATTCCGAGGAGAGCCGCAGAGGACGAGCGAAGCTCCGAGACGGCTTAAGTTAGCTCTGGAGTCCTCCACGACAGCTTGCGCGCAGCTCCGGAGGTCCCGCGTCGCCGCACGGCCGCCCCAGGAGAGCGCTCCAAGGCTCCTCCAGAGAACCGGCAGAGGCCAACATCATGATTTTGCTACGGATTTGTGCTGTAGGTTTTCCGATTCTCTATGTTTCGGGTGGCTGACTGCCCAAGACAACCCACAAGACTTCCAAGACCGCCCCTGGAACCGCCAAGAGGCTGTCAAGAGGGCCCCATAACAGCCAAAGAGGCCGCAGAGGAGGAACGCGAATTGACAGTTTCAAGCCTGTCGACTTCGAAAGGTCCCAAAGACATCCAACATACCCCCAAGATGCACCCCACGGACCTCGAGAGCGTCCGTGAGGCACAAGAGGGCGCCCAACGTGACCCCCACGAGGGCACCAAGGGGCGAGAATGACAGAGCTGCTTGGTTCGTGGTGCATTTCGACGTTTTTTGCCGTCTCGTGCGCTTTACGCTCGACGACTGCCGACTACACCCCCAAGATCGCTCCGATACAGCTGAACAAAAATGCTCCAGACGAGCCCCCGAGGAGGGGGGCGCGGACCGCGAGCTCGCAGTCGCCGCGTCGTCCTCCACACGATCGCGACGACGAACGGCGACACGACGACTTGCAATGACGTCCGACGACGAGAGCGACGGCGTGGAGCCCCAAGCCCCAAGGCGGCTCAAGAGGTGTTCAGGAGTGTTTAGGAGGGTCCCAATATAGCCTGAAGGGGGCCCAAGAGGGGGAGCACGAAACGAAAACTACCACATCCTGCCCAAAGAGGTCCCCAGGAAGCCCAAGAGGTCCAATGAGGCCACCCAGAGACCACAAAGAAGTCCGAAGATGATCCAGGTTGACTCTCCAAGAGACTTCAACACTGCCTCAGAGGGGGAAGCACCCGAGAGGCCACCCACGAGATCCCAACGAACATGCAAGAGGCCTCTGACCCACAACCCAAGCACGGAGGCGGAACGCACCGAAGACCGCTCGAGACATACATACGCAGTTGCATGTATACACGTGTGACATTGGTAGCAGCGGTAGCCGCGATAGTAGTCATGGGAGATGTGACTGTGACGGATCACGGGACCCGTGGTACTGGAGGCAGCCGTGGCAAGCCTGAGCGCGCTAAGCGCGCTCGCGCGTTGCTTCAGTGCGTTTTCTGTTTATGTGTACAAATCAGAGTGAGGGGGCCGAACGGTCATTCACTGTCCCTGGGTGCGTCACTGAAGTGGAATTCCGCGATGCGGATTCTCGTTGTTGTTGTTTGTTGTTGTTTGTTGTTGTTTGTTGTTTGTTGTTTGTTGTTTGTTGTTGTTGTTGTTTGTTTGTTTGTTTGTTTGTTTGTTTGTTTGTTTGTTTGTTTGTTTGTTTGTTTGTTTGTTTGTTTGTTTGTTTGTTTGTTTGTTGTTGTTGTTGTTGTTGTTGTTGTTGTTGTTGTTGTTGTTGTTGTTGTTGTTGTTGTTGTTGTTGTTGTTGTTGTTGTTGTTGTTTGTTGTTGTTTCATGAGGAAGTCTCAGGCAAAACGTGGGTGTCCTGATCCGGTTGTTTTGTTGACGCCCGCTTTCCCTTGCAACAAACAGTATAAAATGACATTTCTTGTTCTAACATAACCAAACTTCAAGAATCCTTTGAAACAAATGACACGAAGTGCACACTCGCGCGCGCAAGATGAAATCCTTCCAAAACCTTACTTTTCGTAGCGCTTTTAACATAAAAACATCAAAAAAACCAATGGTTTTTCAAAAAAAAAATGTCAAAATTTCATCCCGCGCGCTCTTGCGGATTCGTAGGAAACCCAACACTTTTTAAACATTTCTGTCAAACGGGCTTTTGC